TTCACATAAATGATTCTGAGTTATATTAATGTTGTCTACTGTATTAGTAATTGAATTCTCATAGCTATTGTTTGTAAAAATATCATTGTATGTTTCATATTTATATTACTCATTTTCTTCTTATTTATTCTGTTTTAAAACCTGAGTATTGCCAATGATACCTTCTATTTATTCAATTTTAAATTTCTTTTTATTTTTAGAGAGCGAATTTCTTCTCATTTTCTAGATAAATTTAATCAACTTAAAAATCAAGCCAATAGCCATTGAAAAGACTAGATTCATCCAATTTGCAATAATGTTAAGAATCGTTACTGCTATCATAAAATAGCCAAGATTTTGTTTTGTATCTGTATCACTTATACATTCTAGAGTTATTGGTACCAACATGTAAGATAAAAGTAAAATAGATAGTTCATTGAATGCTTCAAAATAAATTAATTTAATCTGGTCGTGTGGTCTAAAGTAAAGAATGTAAAATAGCATAAATTGGCTTGATTCTATTTGAATAAATAGCTGAAGCAATGGAAATCTTTAGAAAAAGACAATTGATCCTGCGTAAATTAATCTTCTAATTAGAAAAACAACAGTATATTAAACTGCACTCCATTCATCTGGCTTTAGATTCAAGTAGAGAGATCCAAATTTTGTCATAAATTAAGGTTCAACAAGCTAATTTGCTTTTAGTTTTAGGAAATAGTAAAATCCCAAAGGAATTGAACAAATAATTAATCCCATTAGTAAAGATGTACCAATTTCATAAATAGAAGAATTGACTAGATTATTTAATCCAATCATTATAGCGATAGCAAAGTTGAGATACCCCTTCAAAATTGATCTGATAAAGCTGCTGAAAAAAATCTTTTCTTTTATTATATCATATAACTTCATAGCTCTTAATATAATTAATAGTCAGAATAATCTTACTTTTAATTTCTCCTAATTATTAGCTTAATAATCAAAATAATTAAAGATAGTAATCCAAGCCCAATTAAAATCAAGAATACTGTACCTAAATTCAGTAAAATACTTGTAGATTCGTAACTTAAATAGTTAAAGCAAAATCAGAATTATAAATTAATCTTGAAATCAAAAAGATATCCATCGTAGCAAAATTTCCTCTGACATCATCATTTGACTCTTTTACAAAAGTAAGAATGTATTTTTTAATATAAGCAGTAGGGATTAAATTCATATTGGATATTCCAATCAAATTTTAGAACATATTGATAGCATTTGAAGGAATTGAGATTCCTAGCATTGGAAGATGCACCATTATTTATAATGTATTCAAAAGCATCCATAGATTATTTAAAGAGAAGCCCATCAGCATAGTTAGAGCGAAATTGAAAGAAACAGTTCCTGTTATAGCTGAACCTACCTGCTCTGTGGAAGCCATTAGTAGTTTCGTTGCCACTTTGATAAATTTTAAATGATCTAATTTTTAAACTTACAGGTATTTGGGAGCTGTGGTGGAACTTTTGAGTATATAATTGCATCTTTTTCTATAATCTAAGTCAAATCTTCTGTTACAAAGAAGTATTGAACTTTGAATTAAACTGAAAGTTAATCATAGTCCTAAATTAAATGAAATTCAAATAGTTTTACTTAAGATACTGAGATTAGGAGAGGATTATTCCAGTTTATCTATATTTCTATTGTATCTTTTTTAATCATTGTGTAAGTCCAATTTTGTATTCCTATTTGAGAATTTTTTACTGATAGCGATCTTAAGTCATCTCCGAATTAAATAAATTTAATGACCAAAGCATTAGTAATTTTAAGTTTCGAAAACTAAGAGTACTCTATTATATCTTTGGAAAATTTAAGGGTAACCTTTCCCAGCATATCTATTTTACTGATTGTACAATTTAAATTACTCTTGATGCTGTCTCTCTTTATTATTCTATTATTGATTTTGAAAAAGTCCTTAGAAACAAAAAAGGTTGAATCAACCTCTTTCTATATGGCAAGTTCATTTTTTAATTACTATTGTGTTTCCAAATTTTCCTAATTTGAAGAAGTTATTTTAAAGCTAAATTCTGTACTATATTTTATTCCATTAGGTAGTTGGCCTACTACAGTTAACTCATAATTTCCAGATGGTTAATTTTCTTCAATTTCCTGTGTCATTAAGCTAAACATTCTAGATGACTCAGAGAAAGATATAATCGATGGAATAGGCAATAAATTTCCATTATAAAAAGCTTGATAAGACTAAAATTCGCATTTCGTCTCATTGGTAGACCATTTAGCAAATTTAAAACTTTTTACCTGGCTACTTTTTCCAACCTCGTAATTTTAAGGTGGAATTTATGGTATATATTTTAATATAGCATAATCACAGCTAGCTCCAACTGTGAATGCTGTAGGGAGTTTAATTAATAGAGTAAAATTCAGAAAATCATATGATTTGCTGAACCCTGATGGCTTTAACTAGCCTTTTATACTGATGTAATACATTCCAACTTTGGTTTCGTTAAATGTTGAAATAAGTATCTTTTCATTATTTAAGTCTATAGTTATAATTTCTGGGTCTATATTTTATTCATCTTAATCGATTATAGAATAGAAGACTGATCCACAAAATTTGAGATCCTCTGAGAAAGTCCAATTAGTGTGGGATATTTCTATCTGAGGCGATCCTAACTCATAAATGTAGTGTTCACTTAGTTTAGGTTTATTAAAAGTAACTTCTCTGCATTTATCAGTTAAATGAACAGTCAACAAAGACTCAGCAAAAATATCATTTACATACCCTTTTATTATCAAGCTTTAATTTTCGAAAGGGATTTTCTGTGTGTTAATTTTGAATGAAAGAATATTTGCTTAGTTATCGAATTCAATATTTTTTATTGCAATGATATGAACTCCATCAAGTCTATAAAATTTGTAAATAATTTTTGGACACTGATCTTATAAGCTTTAAGTCCATTAAAGCATTGTCAATTCTTAGAAGGTTAAAGCAATGTCATAATAGAATTCGTATAATAGCTACTAGGGATAAATAGTTGTATTGGAGCAATCATTTCTAACAAAAATTGAATAATTATAGTACTAAGATTTTCATGCCTATTCCAAAGTAGCTTTTATGGTAAAATTATATGTGCTATTCATTCTAGTATCTTCGGTGTAAACATTTAGTGATTTCGAGGAGCTGTTGAAAAGAAACAAATTTTAATCATAGGAATTATCTATATTTATTAGGTAGGGACACCCAAATTTAGAAGTAAAATAGCTCAAAGGCAATTTCTTTGCTGGCCATTTAATGTTATAAAATTCACTTTGGTCTATAGCCAGAAAAAATGAGTCGTATAAACAATTTAAAGATATGTCTAATTTCAATACTTCATTGGCTGTAACATTACTATAATTAGATAGATGAGCTCTTATATCAAAATCATGTGATCCTTAATGTGAAATTTTATCAGAATATATTTAAAGAAATTGTCCATCAAACTAATAAAATTCTTGTGAGTTGTAAACTTCCAAAGTAATTTTTCCGCATAAAGATTCATTCACAGACAGTTTAAAATTATTTAGGTCTATTATAATTTATGGCTGATCTATAGAGTAGTTATAAGCCTTATAAGTAAAATTAGATACTAATGTTGATTCACGGCAAGGATTCACAAGCCTTACTTAAAATACTCTATGTAACTATCTTCTTTACTACAATATACCGACTTAGTAAAATTAATACACTCCCTCAAAAGATAGATCATATGTTTCTATTTTCAAATTTCTTGTAATTGAATCAAATTTTATAAAAGCAGGCAATGTTCCCAGTGGCATTAGATACCCTATTTGGTATTTGAAGCTTCCACAGTATGAGTAACTAGTATTCCATTCATCAAAGCTAGCCTAAAACTATTAATCTCCTATGGAATAGTTGATATCTGATATTTTATAGGAATTTACTGGAGATGTCATACAATTATCGGTAATGTTTACTCAGAATGAAGTCGAATTAAAATTGTCTTCAATTTAACCCACTATTTTAAGTGTGTAAAGTTTAACTTTTGATTATTAGATGGTGCTTATTTAGACCTACCCTGTTTGCTGATTAATCAAGAAAACTTCAGAATCTGGATGTACTTCAGAGTCAGATGAAATATCCCAAAGTTAATAATTTATAGGATGAGGACATAGATTTTCACTCTTTGACCAATTTAGCTAAACTGTATTCTTTTCTTTTCCAAAACTGATATCATATTCAATTAGTGAAGATGGAGCATTTTCCAGAAGAATCTTATTTGTTTTACATTTATTAGTCAGTAGAACATTGATAAATGTTGAATTTTTTAGTCCAGACCTACTGACTTGAGCCCAAATAATCAATTTATATTCGCCTGCATAGCCAGTATTTTGTGTTTCTATTTATAAAGTTTCATCTTTTAATTTATCTTTGAATATATTATCATTACAAGAGGTTTAAGTGTCATAATTTTAGCAATAAATTTAATCGATTTTAGGACAGTAATTTGGGTACAACTATTGGAAAATTATATTGTCAATAACTAAAGGATAATCTGATATATCATAATAATAGGTATTATTTAACGATGGAGCAATGATTTAATCATAATCACAGGACATTTTCATATCGAATTGATAAATTAAAGTTATAGTTTGAGAGGTATATCTGCTCTATCTTGCACTAACAAATAATCTTAAAGGGGAAAGATTAACATTTTTTTCATCATTAGTAAAAACTCCAATCTAGCTGTTAGTGGTGAATTAAAATATAGTCTCATTTAAAATTTGACCATTATTATCAGTTACGTTAATTATGGAATAAATATAATTACCACACTTTGAGCTTGACATTGTTGAAGTTATATCATCTATTTCTAAAAATTGGTTTCTCTAGTTTATGAAATATTATATTGGTTATTCCTTTTTTTAAACATCTTATGATAGTATAGCTTAACTACAGCGATCAATAAATTAGATATCAAAGTTTGTTGTATTATATAAACCATTTAAAAGAGATCCTTTTATTGTGATAGTAAGTGTTAATGTGCTGTAATTAGCTATTGAATTGTCATTAGCTTCTACTAAAAAGTTAATTACATCCCAATAGTATAATTGTAAATAGGGTAGTGTTGAATTCAATAAATTAGTTACAGTACCGTTTGGAAATTATACCTAAAATGATTATAATACAACACCACATCTTTTAGTAGCATCATACCATCTGTCAATGCTAAATTTTTTTTAGGGATCTCCAATGTAGTATACAATTGTTGGCTACTCTACGGCAAGAATAGTAGTTGTATTGCAAGTTTCATTTGATATAACAACTCAGAAGTTTCGAAATACGGAGACATATTGACTAACGTTTGCTTGCAAATTTAAAGTGAAACTCTTCCAATTATAGTTGAGGTTGCTCATTACTCTCAACTGATTATCTTTGAAGTAAATGTATTATTGATCTTCAGGTTTTAGAGTTTAATTAGTACCTGCTTCAAGAAGTTCATAAGTTATGTCAGGACATATGTTTTATTTAGAATGAGTCCAGTTTAGATTAGCAATAACTATTTCTTATTAATATTAATAGGCATCATACAAAACACTGTTAATGCTATTAGAAGAAATCGTATCTAAGTAGCATTCATGCAAAACGCTAATAAAGTAACTTATGTTTGCTGAGGCATTTCCATCTTGTAAGTATCCCATGACTTATAAGCTATATGATTAAGAATTAACTTTGGAGTTATTTTAAGTGCTAACAATTATTGTTCTATTATCCTCAAAAAAAGTAAAAATATCAGGATCAGGATTATCAAAAGAATATCTAATTATACAATTGCTATTTTGAGTAGAAAATTATTGAAATTGCAAAACTTTAAATTAAGTAACGAAGTATTATAAAGAGATAGCATTTTAATTTTAAGGATCAGTAGCAAGT